GGAAAACCTGGAAGAACGAAACTCTTCAGGATCAACAAAATGTTTTCACAGGAGGATAAAGGATTCAAACGCATCACTGCGTTGTGTTTGTTAGAGACGGTTCTGTTAAACTGGGATTATTCAGCTTAAACTGAAACAGAGATTAAAGATGACTCTACCTGTGGTGCTTTGTCTCCTAGGAAACGGGAAGGTCTTCCATGTCCAAGCGCTCTTCGTCCACGAACGTTTCCGTTCAGATCGCCACGACTTTGACCTCGCCCTGCTGGAACTGACCACGCCCATGACCTTTGGCCCCGTCCTCTCCCACCTCTGCCTGCCCACCAAGGACTTCAGTGAAAACATCCTGATGCATTCTGGGAGGACGGGACTGGCCGACAGGAGGGGGCGTGGCCAGAACCAGGAGCTGGTCTACATGACGCTGGACGAATGTCGAGGAGAGCTGAACGTCTCACAGTCGCTCAACAACAAAATGTTCTGCATGAGGAGGAGGAACCACGGCGGGCCGAGGAGAACGGGACCATCGCGCGGCTCAACACCGGACCTCCAGAAAGGCTAAACGGGACTCAGAAAGCACCAGCTTTGGACCGGAACCGGACTCAAACTGAAAACTTTCCCACCAGGTCGTCAAGCGAAGCAGAAAACTCCAAACGTGGCTTAAAGGAGCAACAGCATGTGTCGCCACCAGGTGGCAGCAGGCGGCAGTGCGGCGGTCTGCTGCCGGGGTCGGCGGTCGTCACGGTGGAGAAAGGAACAGCCTTCCTGACGGGGCTGCTGATGTCTCCGACCGCAGACTGCCGCGGTCAGGTGTTCACCAAGGTGTCCCGCTACCTGAACTGGATCCGGCCGAGGCTGCAGGCGGCGGAGGATCACATGACCCGCAGGTCAGCGAGTACCCGGAGGCCCGCTGAGCACGCAACGGTTCCGATTCACTTCTACGTTAAATTATTGGACGCTTCAGCGGTTTAGATGAAAATAACCTTATTAATATTGGAAATCTGTGGAATCTGATTTAACACAGAACAGCATAGATTATAATGGATGATAAATAAATGCTTTTAAAATTGCTTTGTAGTCATTTTTTAAGAAAACATCACGATAAATAATCCAGAATTTCCACTAACATCTAGAAACCAAAAATGTTTTATTCAACAAGCTTTTTACACAAAGAAACATATAAAAGATCAGTTTACAGGGGGATTGTGGGTAATGTAGTCTAGGAAACAGAAGACAGGGGAGGGAAAGGATTCTGTTTACTGACCACGAGCTTCTGGTGCTGATGGGAGATGTAACCTTTGATGTGACCCTGAAAGGAGACAGAACCAGTCAGAATGTCACCTGGACTCAGGTGTGGCTCCAGGTCTGAGCGCGCTCACCATGTAGATGAGGTTGGCCAGGAGACACTGCACCTCGTCGATGTCCACGTCCTCCACCTGCATCATCCGCAGGGCCACCAGGAAGGAGTCCAGGGGCAGCTGGTGGGTCTTCAGCAGCAGATACCTGCAACCAAACACAAACAGGTCCATCAGGGTCACACCAAACCTGTCCTCCATGAGCCACTGAAACCAGGACGCCTTTCTACACGTCAGACCCAGAAACCCAGGAGCTGCAAACCAGAACCACAACCTGGAAGGACAGAGACGACCTCACGACTCAGGTTAAGATCTGGGTCAGAACCGGGATCTGGAGACATGGTGGTGGTTGTTTACATGTCAACATGTTGCCGCTGCGTCAGACTCACACTTTCTTGAAGAGGTTCCTGTAGGTGATGATCTTGAGTTTCTCCAGGATGAGGAAGATCCCGCAGCGGATGAAGAAGGTCTCGTGTTTGGACAGCGCCTCGTTCAGCAGCAGCAGGTTCCCCTCACTGGGAAACACACCGAGGTCATGTGACTCTGAGTGACATCACTTCCTGCTGATGTGGCCCCGCCTCCCTGCTTACCTCACAGCCTTGGTGACGTCAGCGAACTGAATGAGGTCGTACTTCCTGAGCAGCTGGTGAGTCGGCATGTGGCCCTGAAACGCAACCAGAACCAGGTTAGATCCGGGTCATAGTGGATCAGAACCGGTCCTGTGCCGGTTCCGATCCGGGATGAGCCAGTGGAGCTCCTGACCAGCAGCATCTTGACCGGCAGCAGGTAGATGAGGATCATCCTCTTGTTCTTCTGGCTGGAGCGGTGGCAGCGGTCGAAGGCGAACGACAGCAGCTCCTCAGCTGGACACAAACAGGTCAGCAATTCTCCAGAAGAACCTCCAGAACCTCCAGAACCCGCCCAGTCTTACCCGTCTTAAAGTCGCTGTCGAACATGGCCTTGCGGCCCACGTAGTACTTGTAGGTGACCTTCTGGGCCGGGCTGTACTCGTTCTTCAGGTTGGAGCTGTCGATGGCTCGGATCAGAGGTTTGCACAGGTGGAGCTTGTTGATCTGCAGGAGAACCAATCAGACGTTAGCCTGACCGGTTCTGACCCAAACCTCCCGGTTCTGACCCAGCTCAGCACCTTGAAGTAGATCTTAAAGAGCTGGTTGCTCAGGAACATCATCCCCCACTTCTTGGAGTCGTCGATTCCGGCTCGGCTGTGGCGGGTCAGAACAGAACACGTGAACACGGCCGTCTGGCAGAACCAGAACCACAGAGCGGGTCCGAACGGAGCGGGACTCACTTGTCGCTGGCGCAGACTCTGAAGCAGCTCATCAGCTGCTCTGCTGCCTTCTCCAGCATCTCCCCCGGTTGACCTTTGCCCTTCTTCTGCAGCTGCTGCTCCGCCTGGAGACACAGAGAGAAACCAGCAGAACCAGTGACCCAGTCAGCTGGGAACACTGGGAAACAGTTCAGCAGCAGGTGGGGGAGGGGTCTCACGTTGTTGGCGAATATCCGGAGGTCCAGAGTGACGGCGGACATGACGGGCAGAGCCCTGAAACACAAACACATCAGTGATGCTGCGTTCACGGTCGGCGTGTTCACGGCAGTTACTCACCAGTTCTCCTCCTTGTGGGACTGGAAGGCTCTCAGGAAGGACGTCAGGGGTCAAGGGTCATACAGTCGGCTAATAATCATTCATCCAAACACACAGATCAGCTCTCAAGAAAGGATATTGAACGACGAGCGTCTGGAACTTGTAAGCCTCAACGAAGTCGTGATTGGCCACGGCGTAAGTACACCTGGAACACAGGTAGAAAAACTTCAGTTAGGGATGAAGGTCATCGCCATAGCAACACTCTGCAACAGAAGTTCAAAATAAATAAAAATACTTGAACATTTTGTGAAAAAAGATTTTCAGGCAGCAGAACTTTTTTTTAAATTACAACTTCAATATTTTTGGACTCATGGAGTTTTTCAATAAAGATAAAAAACAATAAAATAAAACTTTTACTGCCAGGCATCAATAATCGATAACCGAACTGGAAGGTTCACCTGAGATGAGCCGCAACCATTTCATCATACGGCGGCTCCAGAATCTGCTGGCACTTCTCCTCCGGACTGGCCAGCTGAACACACACACAGGTGAGGCTGTATCCTAGCAACCCTGACTCTGTGGCTAAGTGGGCGGGGCCTTACCTGCAGGCGGGGGTTGGCTACATGCGGGTGTTTGAAGGAGAGCAGCTCGGCGCAGAAGGAGCCCTCATGGTTCTCGATGGCCTGGTTGATCTGCAGGAAAACAGAGTTTGTTTGAAGACCAGGGAGACAGAACAGGTGAGGCCAGGCTGGGGGTCAGAGGTCACCTGCTGCAGGTACTGGTTGATGGTGATGTGAGCCATGCTGATTAGGAGCTGTTCCCACCTGGAAAACACGTGCAACACTGATTAGGTGATTTTAAGCCTGGACTTTGACTGTGCCGCAGTCTGTAGTGCCGGTTTCAGATGCAGCTCTTGTCCGACATCCAAACTAAATGTTTAAACTGCCTCACTAGCATTCAGAAAGGTATGATAACTCAGAGACACACCCAGGAGTCAGGACTCTGACCTAGAGGAACTAAGACGTGACCTCTGGTCTAACTGGAAGAAGAGCATCCTGCAGCATGACACTGCCACCTCCGTGCTTCACAGCTGAACATTTGGGCATTTGCTGCAGTGTTTTTGCTTTTTTTCCATTCTAATACACCATTATCTCCCTAAATATAACTCATTTATAATATGTTATTGATTATATAATCCACACGAGCTCTTGAAAAAACACATTATTTATTCGGTCATTTATAACGAGCTAATTAGCAAAATGGTACCGTAGCGCTTCTTTTCTTGTTTTCGTAATTAAACTCGATTTAAAACAAGAAAAATAAAGCCGAAACCAAAACCACGTGTAATATAAATAAAAACAGTCATAGAAAACATGTTGAAGCTCTTAAACTTTTCCCTAAAACCAAAACTTCAGTACTGTGAACCAGGTTTGGTGATGATACACTGTATAAACATTTAGCGTATAAACCGGTTAAAACCGACTGGTTCCGGACTATAAATGAAAGTCAAACACTAATAGAGACTCAACTAATAATTACAAAGAAACTGCAAACCTTTTAATGAAGCTTTAAGATGAAAAACAAGCCATGAAGCTCCCGGTTATTCAATCGGAAACACGGACCGTTTCTAGTGACGGACAAGACTGTTTCCGGAAGTACTAATGTCAAAATAAAAGACTTCCGTTGTCGATTAGATTTCAATTTAAAGTAAAATTACGAATTTGGAAAATAATTAAAAAGCATCTGGAACTATTTGTCCTTACACCGCCAGATAAAAATGATATAAAGAATTAAAGAATAAAAAACTGCAAGATTAAAGAATAAAAACTATAAAAACTATAGATGCGTATATTTTTATTAAGTGAAAATCTTACAACATAACTGCAGCAATTACGGCTTTTATTTCCTCTTCGTCTTCTTGAAGACAAAATAAAATAAAACCAACAAATTCTTCATCAACTGAACAAACAGTCGTATCACAACTTTTCTTTCTTTTGCAGATTAATTTATACATTTAAAGTGAATATTATTCGCACAGAAACATCGGAATAAAAGACGAGCACGATCGGGACACCAGAGGGCGCCAAATTGTCACTTAATACTTAAAACTCATCACTGTTTATTTTATTAAACAAGGTCAAACTTTTATCACAAAGCATTAATCACCTACATGAATAATATTGATCTGGATGTTGCACAGCAGGTTTTATGTTCCCTACAAACACCTTACATTTCTGACAAAATGTAAACGATACAGTTTATTTATTGAGCTGGATTCACATGAATTACTATGGAATGATGTTGCCTTGGAAACGTAGCTCACAATAAGTACATTCAGCTCATTTTTAGAAATTAGAAAACGTCATCATGACTTTATCATTTCCAACAAAACATCTGGATGATGGCTTCCCATTAGTTGTCCGATTAGCTTCCTGCTCAGAAAGAGTGGGCGGGGCCAGGTGACCATCCGGCTCCGCCCACTCGGCCGTGGCCTGCATTCTCACTGCTGATTGGTCCATGGAGGGTAGCACATGGAGAGTGGGAGGGGCTTATCTCTGAGCATCCGACGGTCCACAGACACGGATACTGGCTGGAAACACACACACACACACGCACACACACACACACACACACACACACACACACCTGTGTTACACCTGAGCTCAGGTCTGAGAGGTCAAGGTGTGGGTGGGGCTTCACCTGGAGCTGTGAGGAGGGGGAGGAGCCTGTGAGGACGGAGCGCTGCTGGTCATCGACAGTGAGGAGGAGGAGGGTGAAAAGGAGGAGGAAGATGAGGCAGGACGAGGAGAAGCAGCGCTCCAACCTTCATGAAGAACCGGAACGCCATCAGAGATCAGGTTCACTGGGAAACACAGCAGATGGGAAAACATTGACATCCGATCCGGGTTCCAATCAGAAACTGATCCTGGTTCTACATAGAAACTGATCCTGGTTCTACATAGAAACTGATCCTGGTTCTACATAGAAACTGATCCTGGTTCTACATAGAAACTGATCCTGGTTCCACATAGAAACTGATCCTGGTTCTACATAGAAACTGATCCTGGTTCTACATAGAAACTGATCCTGGTTCTACATAGAAACTGATCCTGGTTCTACATAGAAACTGATCCTGCTTCCACATAGAAACTGATCCTGGTTCTACATAGAAACTGATCCTGGTTCCACATAGAAACTGATCCTGGTTCTACATAGAAACTGATCCTGGTTCTACATAGAAACTGATCCTGGTTCTACATAGAAACTGATCCTGGTTCCACATAGAAACTGATCCTGGTTCTACATAGAAACTGATCCTGGTTCTACATAGAAACTGATCCTGGTTCCACTCAGAAACTGATCCTGGTTCTACATAGAAACTGATCCTGGTTCTACATAGAAACTGATCCTGGTTCTACATAGAAACTGATCCTGCTTCCACATAGAAACTGATCCTGGTTCTACATAGAAACTGATCCTGGTTCTACATAGAAACTGATCCTGGTTCCACTCAGAAACTGATCCTGGTTCTACATAGAAACTGATCCTGGTTCCACATAGAAACTGATCCTGGTTCTACATAGAAACTGATCCTGGTTCCACTCAGAAACTGATCCTGGTTCTACATAGAAACTGATCCTGGTTCTACATAGAAACTGATCCTGGTTCCACTCAGAAACTGATCCTGGTTCTACATAGAAACTGATCCTGGTTCTACATAGAAACTGATCCTGGTTCCACATAGAAACTGATCCTGGTTCTACATAGAAACTGATCCTGGTTCCACTCAGAAACTGATCCTGGTTCTACATAGAAACTGATCATTCTTCAGCTCTACTCATAACTTCAAATTTGATGAGTTATGTTCACCAAAAACGTAAATCTTTTACCACAAATCAATAATTTTTAGGTAACTGATAGCTGTTAAGAAAAATAAAGACTTTTAAATATTTCTAAAACTGAATATCAACCAAATATTAAATAAAGGATGACATGTTTCCGTAGGTGTAACCTGAGGAGTGTGGGCGGTGCGGCAGGTAGGCCGTGGGGTAAGGTGTGTGTCTCCCCGGGTAACCGGGTGGCTTGTACCCATGGTGATGGTGATGATGGGACGCCAGCGGCAGGCTGCTGGAGTAGGAGAAGGCTCCGCCCCCTCCTGCTGAGCACAGCGGCCAACCTGAGACCAACATCAGAAACTGATCAATCTGTTCAAGCTGGAGATAATCAATAATCAGTCATGACTGGAGAACGAATGAAACGATCTGAATGAGTTTACAGGAGAATTTCTAAACATGACATTAAATATTATTGATCTGCAGAAGCAAGTTATTTAGAAAAAATGGAAATTCAGAGCAGAACTTGAGACATATTAAATTATATATAACAATAAGAAAGATTTCATTATAATTAAAATAATATTATTAAAATATATTATAAAATGTTGGACATAATAGACTATAATTACATGAGATATTTATTATATTATATGTTCCATGACAAAAACGGCTTTTAATATGATTACAATAATATTAGCACATAAAATATAAAATATTTTGTAATATAGAAATGTTACATATCATTATAACAATGTGTATAATAAAATTAGACAAGATTCCTTTATTATTATTATTGTTATTATTATTATTGTTATTATCATATAACAACTAATATTGTTGTAAATATAATATTTATGTTAAATACTATAAGTAAATTGATTTCACTATTTATTTACATATTATAATTACTCACAGGGCTGGATCCCGACCCGGCTCTCCGCAGCGTCCTGGAGAACCCGACCTGCTGGGTTCCTGAGGAGGATGAATCAGGCGTCAGCTATCGGTGTCACTTGTCGCCGTGGCGATGATGATGATGAGGCTCTAATCACCTGGGCTCTGATAACCAGGTGAGAAACACTGAGCCCGTTTAGCAGCCGCCTGCTGAGCGAACCGCCATGGAAATGAAATACTTCTCCTTTATTCTGAGTCATTCATTCAGAAAATTTTGATTCCAATTTTAAAAAACTATGTCTGGAATATTTTCACAGAAAAACTTCAGATTGTGATCTTTTTAATTTTATGTGTGTCGTCATTAAACAGAAAGACGTTCCCTGCTGTGCCTCACCTCTCCTTGGCGTCCAGGAAAGCTTTAGCAAACGGATTATACTTGATCTTCAGAGCCGTGATCTGAGCACAAGACGACAGAATCACATCATTACTTCAATAAAAACCACTTTAACCAGCAGAAATGGCATCATTTCTAGGAGGGGAACCAGTCATAATGATCAGAACCAGTAGTGACAGTGATCAGAACCAGTAGTGATAGTGATCAGAACCAGTAGTGACAGTGATCAGAACCAGTAGTGACAGTGATCAGAACCAGTAGTGACAGTGATCAGAACCAGTAGTGATAGTGATCAGAACCAGTAGTGATAGTGATCAGAACCAGTAGTGACAGTGATCAGAACCAGTAGTGACAGTGATCAGAACCAGTAGTGATAGTGATCAGAACCAGTAGTGACAGTGATCAGAACCAGTAGTGATAGTGATCAGAACCAGTAGTGACAGTGATCAGAACCAGTAGTGACAGTGATCAGAACCAGTAGTGATAGTGATCAGAACCAGTGAGGACCAGGTGATAGTGATCAGAACCAGTAGTGATAGTGATCAGAACCAGTGAGGACCAGGTGATAGTGATCAGAACCAGTAGTGACAGTGATCAGAACCAGTGAGGACCAGTGATAGTGATCAGAACCAGTAGTGACAGTGATCAGAACCAGTGAGGACCAGTGATAGTGATCAGAACCAGTAGTGACAGTGATCAGAACCAGTGAGGACCAGTGATAGTGATCAGAACCAGTAGTGACAGTGATCAGAACCAGTGAGGACCAGCATGGCGCCGTACCTCCTCGTTCTGGTAGGCGGTGACGGCGATGAACTGCGTTTCCCTGAAGGAGACGTTGGACACCAGGCGGTGGCGGGAACCCACGCAGACGATGTGCAGCTGCGGCTCGTACTTATGGAGGGAGTTCAGCATGATCTGGAACAAACACATAGATTGACCTGAACTCTGCCCCTGGTGGCCGTCGGGTCATCACAGCACCGTGACAATGGACCCAACTGGTCTCTGGTGTGGAAGCTGCTCTGAGGGTCGGAAGTTTCTGTCTTCATATTGATGGTGAACTGAGTGAAACCAACAGACCCTTTGAGCAACCTGTTCCCCTCCTCACCTGTGGGGGCGCTGCACCAAGAGCTACTGACGTTAACTGCACAAAAACATCTGAAGAAGACACTGAGCCCAACTTCATTCTTTACAAAATCTAAACAAAACTGAGTGGCATCAGATTTAGAGGTTGGAGGATTTATGCTTTGGGTGTGGTCAACACCATGCTAAGCTAATACATTTGTTCTGTTTGCATTTACCCAGAATGCCTTGCACCGAATTTCACTTCCTGATTTTGGACCAAACTCTGGTCTGTAGGGCATTAGAACCGAACCAGAGTCCAAGAAGTCCAGAAGTCCAAGGTGGACCAGAGTTCACGGTTCACCTGCATTAAAGAATCGGACATGAAAACAAACTGGAGTTGGATCAAAGCAACAGGAAATCTTCTTCCTGTTTCTTCAACCAAGCTTATGACAATCCCAAAGAAACCAGAGTTTGGCAGACAGGAAGTCTCTGCTGGAGGTCAGTGTTGTTCCTCTGAGGAAAGACCTCCAGAAATCTAGCAGACCTCCTGATCGGTGCCACTTTGTGGTCAACAGATTCAGATTTGGACCGGTACTGGAACCAGCTGCAGCTGTTTGCTAACATCATGGTCCGTTCTTCCTGTTAACAGGACAGAAGTTCCTGAACTGGTCTGACAGGCAGGCAGAACTTTGTACTTGTGGGTCCATTAGAAGCAGAAAGTCGGAGTTTAGAGTCAGGCTGCGTTCAGCAGAGTTCGTGGATAGGAGCCATCTTTGTCTTTTGGCCGCGGCTCTCTTTTATCCATCTGTTTTCTCTCGTATTCAGCTCCCCGTCGCCCCCCTGACTAACGAGGCCCAATTAACCAATCCGAGTCAGCCGGGCCAGCGCACAAAAACAAACTGTTTTCTATTCAGATTGAGAGGCTGGCTTCAGATGTGACCCCGGCGCTGAGTGTGTGTGGGCTCCGTTTGAATATAGTTTACCTCGTCCATCTGAAGCATGATGGCTAAATTAATTTCCCAGTAAAAAACATAATTACCATAATGTACAAATAAGCAGAGCAATTATTTCATTATGGCCGAGCTCTCTGCTCCAGCGCTGCATTACGGCCCGGTGTGTGCGTGTCATGTTTGGACTGGATAATGGGGTAAATATAAACAACATTACTGCCAATTTTGTCCTGCAGAGACTCGGTGTGTGAGTGGAGGCCGCGGCGAGCGCTCAACAGCTCTCCACAGGAAGTGCATTAAACTGCTGCCGGCCAATTAAGAGCTGTTTATCCCGTTCCCGTGGTTACGAGGGGGTGAACAGGTGAAGTGAAAGAGGAGAGGGACTGAAGTGGCTCATTAGAGGCGGTGGTCTCTCGCCCACTCCAGGATAATACAGCGAGAGCAGAGAGAAGCTAATGGACAGAAGAAGAGAGGCGAAGAACAAAGAGGAGGAGAAGAAGAGGAGGAAAGAAGTCAGAGGAAGAAAAGTCGACAAAGATCCACCGAAACAAAACAGCAGCTAAACCAATTCAGAAACAACAAATAACAACATGAAACAAAATTAATACAGGAAATAAAACATATAAATGATAAAAAATACACATTAAAAATCTATTAGCGTATTACTATGATCCACAATAATCAATAAAACTTGAATGAGATCAAATATGGCTGAAAAGGATGATGCAAAACTAAAATAATAAATCTACAAATACAAGGATTAAAAATTAAACAGTATGAAGAAAAAATATATATAAATACATTAAAAACATATTTTAAGAGATAAAATCTCATTAACATCAAAATTTGTTTCACAACAACTTGACCAAAAAAGGCAGAAAAAGAAAATATAAATATATTAGAATAGAAGGACAGATCTATGATCTGCTGATTCAATTAAATACAACAAGACAGTAAAAGGAAAAAGAATAATAGTTCAAAATGACAGATTAAAGATGAAATCAAGGCAGGAAATAAAAATAACTAAAAGATTAATAGAAGACAAATGAAAAAATAAAGAACACATGAAGAGTAAAACCTGGACCAGCTCACCTGTCCTCCTCCGTTCACCTTGTTGGTCAGTTTGACCCGGTTGAAGGTCACCGGCGCCTTCATCCAGTGGGCCCCAAAGTTGGGCGAGTCCGGGTGGATGTAGATGCCCCCCTGACCTCTGACCTCGGCCCGGCTCTCGGCCCGGCCCGCCGCCACCCACTCCCCGTTCACAAACTTCCACCTGCAGCTGTCGGCCGGAACAAAGTCAAGCAGGAAGGAGTACATGGAGCTGGGGTCCAGACCCGACACGCTGACCTTCAGAACCGGGAACATCCGTCTGCACACACACACACACATGCACGCACAGACACACACACACATACACGCACAGACACACACACATGCACGCACAGACACACACACACATGCACGCACAGACACACACACACACGCACACACACACATACACGCACAGACACACACACATGCACGCACAGACACACACACACATGCACGCACACAGAGCAGGGATCAGAACTGGATCCATGAAGTTGTGGAGGAAAAACAGAACTAGACGAGTTATGAAATTAATTAAAGCTAAAGAAAGAAGAAAAACAAACATTTTTATAAACTGGAATAAAAACAATAATTATATGAAAAATTATACCTCGTTTATAAAACCAAAGCATTCTGAAATTCCAGCTATAAAGCCGTTTTATTGATCAGCCTTTTGAATTGATTTACATCGACTGTCGGTAAATTACAGCCTGATCCTCCGGGCTGCGTTCACCATAAAAACTGTTCGCCACAAAGCTTTGACAAAACACCAGTCAGTTTGTTTACAACAATAACTGAATACAGCTTCTGAAAATTGTATAATCTCTTGATTATTCATCACCCATTTATCAATGTAACAATAATCAAAATACTTTGATCTTTCTGTATTCTGCACCTAGAAATGAACCGAAATATGAAAAAACTTAAAACGCTACAATAACTAACAAGATAAATGAAAAAATAATACTTTTTATTATTTAGATAATAAAAAGTATCTGATTTAGGAAAGTAAAAGTCGCAGCCAATTAAAACTGAACTATAATGAAAATCCAGAACCAGATGTGGAGTCCAGATGTTCTCCAGCACCAGAACAGAACCAGGATGGACGGATCATTATGATAATAAATAGGTCTGTCACAATAATCAATAAATAAATGAAAACAAGCTCAATAATTTTTTGCTTCTATTAAAAACTGGATAATAAATCTTCACTTTGGTGTTTTGGTCTCAACTAAACCTTTTTTCTGACGGACATTATTCAGTTTGCTTTGTTTATTAATTTGTTTATTAATTTTGTATTAATTTTCACAGTTCCAGTGTGAAATGTTTATTAGAATGTAAAGATTATTGATCTTTGAAGATGAGTTCTGCATGAAAACAACAATATTATTGTTTATTGTCATACCTTCTGGGACAGCTTCATCTGACTGGAAGCACCTGATGTGAAACTTTGATCTGCTGCCGCTGAGTAACAATCAGGATAAAGTAAAGCAGCGGCTCTCCAGCAGTGAGAGCGGCTGAAGTGGCGTCCTGCAGGTGTAAATGGAGTGTTGCCCCCCGCAGGGCGCGCCCGGTCAGCACGCCTCTGCACAAAATAAATAAAAAACTCCACAGACTAAATAAATCGCACTGAGGTGACGGTGGCAGCTGCTATCGAGACTAATGAATAACCCCGGTTAACAGCACAGACTGGAGGCTTCAGCACCACAAAACCCAAAATAATCCAACAGTAATGAACATTTATGATCAGGAAACAGTAAAATACCTTCACTTTGTTTTCATCAACTCTGAAATTCAAGAAGGTTTTTATCTTTAGAAGCTGTTTCATCTGATCAGATTCCTCAGGTACAAAAAGCCTGATTAAGGTCAAAGGTCAACTAATTTATATGCTCTCAAACAGAACCAGCTCAAATAAACTGGTTTGAAAACCGGGACCCTGGTTCTGAACCAGAGAAAGGTTGACCTGCAGACCGGATGGGACGTCTCAGAGGTCAACAGAGGAAACGATAACTTATGTATCTCCTTACGTTCTGCGTGTTTAAAGGTAAATATTTTCATGCTCAAAAGCAAAAAAATGTTTACAATAAAAACTCTGGAATATTTACAACCTAGAAAATGTCTTCTGAAAGATCATGCATCCTCTAGACAGCAGACATTTCCAAACTCTCTCAAAAGAGAAAAAGACGTCAGAACCTGTTGACCTGACGGTCGTCTTGGACACATTGGGAAGGTGTTGGCCAGTCCTGCAGCAGATCTACCAATGAACTCCTTTCAGGACTGCAAAACACCGAAGCAGTGAGACTCTAGATCCATTTATTATGACTGAACAACATCCTATAGATCTTGCTGAAGACCTTTGACCTGAACAGTATCCAGTCGTTTTGCTGAACACAGGAAGTGAGGACTCAGTCCTCGAGTTACCGTCCGTTCTTGGTGACGATCATCTCGTTGGTGATGAGCTGGAACTTCCTCCACAGCTCGGCGTCCTCCAGCGTCACCTTCAGCTCCCTCTCCGTCGGGTCGCCCTTCTCCCGGCCGGCCTGCAGCTCGCTCTCCACGGCGCTCAGCAGCCGGGACATGCAGCGCTCGGCGGACGCGATGGCGCACGCCGACCCCGCAGAGCCACGGCCTGCAGAAGACACCGAACCGGACTCCCCGTCCTCCTGTAAGCCCTCCACCTTCATCTGCAGATCCAAACATTGAGTTACCAAAGTATAATTTCATAAAAGAGGTCTTAAAATAAAGCTATTCAGGTACTGAGAACCTTCTGCACGTTATAATTTGACGTTGGCTCTAATTACGACATCAGAAAACTTCAGTCATTACATTTCTACTGATGTCTAATAGCAGGCTGATGGCTGCAGGTTATTGAAGCTCCTAACTGTTCGGAAATTACCGAGACGTCCTGTAAAATAAAAGCCACAGAAGCCGTAGACCCTGGAGGATAATAGCAGCGCTGTAATCACTCAGCAGGTCTGCATACGTCCAGTAGCCAAACAAAATGGTTTGAGAGAGATACTCAAACAGCCATTTGTGCCTTAATGTCTTAATGACGGACCAAGCAGAAGATCAGGAGACTAAAAGCTCAATTAGCAGTTCTACCTCCAACATTTACCGTCAAATTAAGAGTCTTAAAGGGGAAAGTCTTCAGACTGAGACCCTAAAGCCAAAAGTAATCACCCCCTCTGCCTAATAAGAGGTTGTTAACCCAATCAGGTGTTCATGATTCCTGGTAACGACTCTTTAACTCCCTGCAGAGGAACTTCGACCTCCTTCTCTAAATCGACTGAATTCAGTTCCTTAAGGGGCAACATTAGGTAAAATGTAACTTTTTTTATTTCTTAGCACATTATAAAGTTATTCCCTCTATTGAGAAATGCTTTAATCTCCATGGCAACCATTCAGCTGTTCAAAACACCTGGGTGGACCTAGCCCCGCCCTTGAGGCGCAGCTCCTCCCCATCCAGCTCCTTCAGACTAGCCAGTAGCAATTAGTAAACAGCTAACAGTTATAGGAGCTGCTTTTCAGAGCAACGCTGGTGAAAACGTTAACAGCGCCATGTTGTGATGACTTCCTGAAGGCGGAGCTTCAGGGAGAGCAGGAGTTCTTAAAGAGACAGAGGCCCAATTTCAAGGTGTTGAATTACAAAGTCAAATTTCTTCAGTCATATTTAATAAATATAACATTTTTATGTCAATCGAAGGTAACTTAGTTACTTGATTTTGCTATAAAATATCTGGTGAACACATAATAGTGCCACTTTAAAACCAGACTTTGACTATACCACTCTAAAATGCAGAGGTGTCTTTGCTTCTGTGCTTTGGATCATTGTTCTCCTGCAGAACCCAACTGTTCTTCAGACCTGGACCTTCTTTTTGTCCAGGTCTTAAAGCAGCCCACAGCATGACGCTGCCACCACCATGCCTGCCTGCAGGTCTCATAATGATGCAGTTCTGCAGCAGGTTCTGCAGCAGGTCCAACAGAACTCGTCTCTTCAGTCCACAGAATATTCTCTTCCCATTTTTTTCTCCTGATAAATATTTTTACTGGTTATTTTTCTCAGATTTTAACGTGTAAAAGTGAAACTGGAGGAAATCAGCTCAGGTAAAAACTGATCATTTATTCCTGTCGGTTCTGGATCGGTGCAGAAATCTGGTCCGGTTCTGGTCCAAACTCTGCCTTTTATCTGAGTATCAATAATAAACACGGACAGCACAAAATGAAACCACTCAGAGGTTTCAGATGATTTAACTGAATTAATGAAAATTAGCTTTTATGAAAATAAAAACTTTTAACCTGAAACTAAAAAAATTCAGATTTTAAAATTTACTGCTTCAGTGACAGAAACTGAACAAACCTGTTTCTGATTTTAATTAAATTTTTTGTATGAATCTTAAATATTGTCCCAGATTTTACTAAATACATAAAAACATTTCCATTCATCTTAATTTAACTCATGAATCTGTTTATGTTTCATTAATTAAAATAAATCTGTTGCTCTAGAAATGCAGATCATCCTGTCACATTACACTACTTATAAAAAATCATATTTTTTCTGTTTCATCAAATAATTAAATTATGGTTTAAGATAATGACTAAATAACATTAAATGCACTGAAATCATTTCATAAAAAACCTTTATTTATAATTTAATGTGTTTTTAAATGTGGGCAGACAGTTTCTAATTTAGACAAAATTTTTAAAAAATGTATTTAAATTATTTCAAATATTAAATCCCAGAAATTTAATTTTGACACAGCATAACTTTTATTATCAGTTCTGAGTGAGATTAATTTTCTGAATAAAATAAAACAAAAGCTACAACACAAAAAGGATCAAAATAATTTAGGAACAACAAAAATATTAAAAATAAAAAAATTAATGCAGAATTTATATTAAATTATGTAAATTATTAAATGCAAAACATGTTCAGGAAACTGAAATCCACACATTTTACAGATTTTACCTTATTTTTGTGGATTTAATAAAAAGACTGATTAATTCCTTTAAATCATATTTTGCTTTATAAAGCAGATTCTGTGTGTTTAATTAAAACTCATTAAATGCGTCTAACTGGAGTGTTTTCACGGCAGCGGCGCGGCGCTGCAGCTGCTCCCATTAAACTACATGAAGAAAACAAAAAATCTGATTTAAAAAACTGAGACAAACGCAACATTAAAAGATTTATTTTAGATTTAACTTACAGCAAAAACTCCACAGTAGAGATAATGTCAGTTTTTTTTGTTTAAAGATCTAATGTTTCTTTCAGTAAAGAAATAAATTCATTAAAATCTCATTTTAATTAATTTAATGAATTTAAAAACATTCAAAATGCGTAAAACTAAGGAAGAAAATTCTTTTTAACTTTTTCAATTTGCATATTTCTCCCCATAAATTTAATAAAAACATATTTTCATCCTAGAACTAGAACAGATAGAATAGATGAAACTGACCTGAGAGGTTCTGATCCAAAGTGTTGAACACAACAAAGTACTGATGAAGGTCTGACCAGAGCCGGCTGCACACGGGTCTGATCGCTCCACCCAACACACACACACACACACACACACACACACACACACACACACACACACACACACACACACACACACACACCGCTCTGCTCTCACTGCCCTGAACGGCCCAGATCCTGACAGAACCGCCCGCTAGAACCAGAACCAGCAGCAACAATTAAAGCACATCATATAAATCACTTTATGATGAAAAATGTTTGATTTGTAAAAAGAGAAGATATGAAACTGGAGCAGGAAGAAACCAGAACCTGAAATCTATAATTTCAGACATGGAGCCAATCAAGAAGTCCAAACCCTGTTCCTTTATCTTAGACAAAACCAGAATCCGTTCACATTCAATAAGCTGAGATGGTTCTAAACAACTGCGGTCCAAACTCTCAGAACCACCAGATTCAGGCTCAGATTGATCTGTAACTTAAATATTAATGCAAATCAGAAAAATCTTCAATCAATCAATTTTTTCTTCTCCTTTGAGTCTCTGATTAAAAAAGTTCTAGACGTTAGAAAAGTCCAAACTATCCCGTTCTGCGCTCTTTGAGCCTCCAGGATCTCGACTGAGTCGACCCAAACCGAACGGGGAACCAAAGACAGCAGAACCGTCAATGGCTTCACAAGAGAACCTGTGAGATGGTCTAAGAAGGATCTGAAGAACAGCTGGACATCGGACCAGTGACCCAAACGGTGTGAAGCTTCAACCAGTCTGGTTTGGGTCAGACGGACCTTCTCTACCCTCCTGCACTAAAATCAGAGGACGGGTCACTGGTACCAGGAGGAACTTTGGTTCCAGAACTCGTTTGGATCACGTGTCTCTGAATGGCGACACGTATTTAGGAGCCAAAGTTTTACGCAGCGTTTGGCCGTGACGTATGTAATGCACTAAAAGTTTACCATAAATTAGCTATGCTATAAACGACCATCTGATTCGATCCAAACTGTTAATGTTCCTTCATTATTTGGAGGCGTGGCCAACACGGACTGAACGGCTTCCTTCACTTCCTCCATCGCTAAACCACAGGCAGACTGACTCAGAAAGTCGACGTCATCATTCACAACTTCTCCTTCTGCTCACTGATTGGTCCAGTCAAAACAATCAAACAGAGACAATCCAAGTCAAAGGGAGAAAGCGAGAAAGCAAAGGCCCGGCGCATTGGGCGATGCCACGTTTGGCGCCGAAGAGTCCAGTACTCCCCTGCGTCCAACTGGAGCCTCGTTCTTCCAGTGGATATCGGTTCAGAACCAAAGATCTGCAGATCGGATCAATGTACCTGTATCAGAAAGATCTGACCTGAAGAGACAAAATCTGGATTAATCAACTGAAACCTTGACGAAGCTTCAGTCGTCTCTGGATCTTCTCCCTCCTCCGGGTTTAAATGTCACTCAGCACCTAGGAAGAAAAACACCATAAGCTGTTTAGAGCAGCATGTAATGGAGAATAGGTCAAATCCAAGTGGAGAACATCTGGAAGCGCACGCAGTGGACATCTGATCTGCAGCCGGGATTTAATCAGCCGGCCGAGGTGGAGGGTGGAGATTACTGGCTTTAAGGACTTAGCAGGAACAAAGACGACTGGAAGCAGGCAGGCGGGTAAACACAAAGCTCAGGTAGAAAACATGACTGTCTCACACACTTTGCCTCAAAAATACATTTATTCAGATTTGACAGGAAATACAAAACTTCTGGAGAAAAAAGGATGTTCAGAAACACAAATTCAAATTATACAAACACAAAAATGTTCTCATGAAAGTAAAACCATCTTCCACTTCCTCACCGGGACTGAAGGGGGCGCTAGATGTTTCTGATATTAGTCAAGCTAAAACTTACAGGAAGGAGGATCCCTCATTGAAATGCTCAAATTTAAAGAATTTATCAAAATATTTCAATTAAATATTAAAGAAATCAATGAAATGTGTTAAAGCAGGAAATATTTACAATCATTTCCATAAAGGAATCAATTAATAAATAATTCTGATGAAATGTGTCATAATGATCGAAGGAACATTAGTGGATTTGTTCTCAGGCAAAATGATCATCAGCTCTGCAGCTGATAATAATAATAATAATAATAATAATAATAATAATAATAATAATAATAATAATAATAATAATAATAATAATAATAATAATAAGGCCAGGTTTTCACATACATTCATATTAATAAAATACATAATTATTACACAGGAATTAAAGCTTGAACCAACAGACCCTGCTAATATGGAACAACAACACGGCCAAATGAAAACCAAAACAAATCAAATAAATAGATTAAAATAATACAGTTATTATCAATTCAATAAAAATTATCCTCATATTTCCATTTTCTTCACCTTTTTTAATAATAATAATAAATAACTGGCTCACATTCAGTAGTGTAATTATTATGACACAATCTGTGAATAATTCACTACATTTGAAGTGTTTTGTGATCAGAATATTAAATATTATAAAACAGCTGAAGAAGAGCATAAATGTGACCAAGAAGCTTTAAAATTTAACGTTTATATGTTCATTTATTTTTCACAATATGGAATTTGGGTTAGACTAAAAGAATTTAGTTTAGTGAAATTATGAGTGAAGTTGCAACAACGTCACAGTGACATAATAATAACTCAGAAATAACATCATAATTTGGTAACAGAGCTGCAACAATATCAGAAAAAGTAACAAAAGGTGAATAAAGTCAGGATCCTTTAGTCTGGCCCCAAAACTCCACCGTAGTTTAAATAAACTTTAAATATTTTAGCCTGAATCTGAAATGCAATAATATGAAACTAAAGCTGCGTCATTCTATGTTAACATGGCGAATTAGATCCAATGTGATTATTAATAAATAAAACCTGATTCCTGATTGGATACACACCCCAGCATCCCTTGTCCTGATTGGTGGCTCTACATGCAGAGGGAGAACAGCTTGATGACAGCGTCCCTGAAAGACAGCAGGTGAGACCTGGGTTAGCTGGACACAGGTGGGTCCAGGTGGGCGGAGCCTCAGATGTGAGCTTACCTGGCGAATGGGATGTAAGACAGGCCGTACCTGCAGCACAGACAGCAGAGGTCAGACAGGTGAGGCAGGAACCAGTGTGTGTGTTCAGGTGTGTGTTTTACCAGGTGAAGGCCAGAAACTGCAGCACACAGAACAGCAGCGCCAAGCCGTTGTTCTTCCACTGCAGAACCAGAACCAGAAGAGTTCTAATAACCAACAACAGAACCAGGAAGTTTTCACACAGAGTCCGATTCTCACCCAGAATGCAGCGCACAGAGTCAGAACCAGGCAGACCTGCAGACAAACCAACATCAGAGTCAGAACTGGGATCAGAACCTGGAAGTGTTTCAACGAGCCAAAGGTTGGTTCTGACCAGCATGATGGCGGTGGCCAGGGCTCGGACCTTAGCGCACATGTTCTTCAGCTGCCGTAACGGACCAATCAGGAACATGGTGCTGAAACAACGGCCAATAGGAACAGTTTCACCACAAGGGGGCGACATTTCAGCAACACAGAACTTTCTATGCTATGGGAACGCACTCTTCCTCATTACACAACCTCATTATTCACATGAAGAGTTACAAAGACAGAACGGACGTAAACCAGAAGAGATCTGCGCCATCTTAGTAGGCAAGTGCAGCACAAAGACCAATCTGGAGGAGAACGATACAAAACAGCTGCTGGTGAGATCCACCCGTCTGAGACAGAGGATGAAAATATGTCAGACTTTATTAGAGTAAAGTTAACTGTCTAGTAGAGGAAGCAAAACATGGAGGCGCCTGAAATCCGGAAACAAAGATTTATAAAGCACAAGGTTCTGTCGACGAGCAGAACTGTGACGACACATGAGAGCAACATATTAAAGTAATAAACACCCAGTTACATCTGCACAAATCCAGGAGAGGTTCTGGTCTCGGCAGAACTAAAGGTTCTGCTCATTTCTGGTTGGTTCTGGTTGGTACCTGGCCAGAGCGCAGAGGTTTCCTACGGTGTAGAGGACAGCGAACACAGGAAGTCCAAACCCTGGGATCCACAGCAGGCAGGTAGCCTGTTGGACACACAACACGTCCTCCATCAGGGACAGAGGACAAAACTCACCTCAGCTGTTAATGGTGTGATTATTCCTCACCAGTATGGAGCAGACGGCCCCCAGTATGAAGCAGATGACGAAGCCCTTCATCCGGGTCCCCCAGGCCAGAGTGGACGCCTGATTGGCTCTCTGCAGGCGTGATGTCATTTATCATAAAACCCTTAAATGCAACTTATTAAAACAAACATTCTGCATAGATTACAGATTATAACATGTCAACAGTGAAATATTGACCCAATGCAGAACTATTGTGTTCATTTTGCCACAGCTGTGAGGAAACGTCACCATCTATTCTGGGACTGACGTTATACTCAAATGTTTTGGAAAGATATAAAATTGGAAATAAACCTAATATTAATATTATTCAACTTTAATCTCTACAGCTGTAATTTTATGAAGCTAAACCCCAAATTTAATACATTCTTACTTGATGTAATTTCATATTTGTCCTCTTCAATACAAACGCCTCAAAAACTAAATTTATTTTATTAGACATTTTACTGGTTGTAATATATCTTCCACATTCATTCATTATGTTCATTTGTACAATTTATTGTAAATATTTTGTTTACATTACAAATGAAAAAACAAATATAATTATTTAAACTATTTGTTGTTTTCTTGCTCATATGGCACAGAAGCTCATCTTACGTCAGAATGACAGCAGCAGCAGTTTCGCTTTAATTTAACATTCTGATCACATGTTCTTTATTAAATTATTAGATCTTATTAATAATGAACTCTTAACAAAACAGTTAAATATGCAGTCATAAATGTGTTTATATCTGAGTAAACTATAAACCTTCCCCTCCGTTTCTCGTGTAAAACTAATGATTCATTTCTGAGTCTCTATTGTTTTGAACTGGTTTCCTCCCAGTAAGCGGCTAACAGCACCTCCAGTATGCCGCTCCCATCCGAGCTGCCGCCGCCGTCCTGCCCGCCCAGAACTTGCTTCAGTTTATCCATGGACCCGCTCTCCTTCCAGAACCGCCGCAGAACGTCCAGAACCTCCCAGCAGGCCGCGGGTCGGTGGGTCCAGGTTGACCAGGTGAGCCGTCAAAGTTTCCGGCAGGAGGAACAGACTTTTACCTCAACAGGTGCAGCACTTCCGCCTGCAGTACCGCCTCTGGCCACAACGCGTCAGAGGGAGGCGCTGTTTCACCCCGAACATTTATATGAGGAATATTTTGTTGATGTTACTTAAATAAGACAATTTCTTCAGATAAAACTAAAATAGCTATTTTTTATTAAAGTAAACTTACGGCTTTATACCCTTGGATGTTTTTTACATTGTTAAAGCAACATTCAGCCGGCACCCATGTTTGTACATATGTAATCAGTCAAAAAAAGGAAAACATTATAACATTCGTAAAGCTTTAAAAAAAAAAGCATTACAATGAGGTTAAAGTTGTTGTAAATCAGCTTAAATATTATTCTGTTGTGTTTTAGAACCATAGCTTCAGTTTTATTTCATAAAAGTTTTTTTCTTATTTATCAAGCATCTCAGAATATTTAGAAATAAGCTCAAAATGCAAAACATACCAACTGTAAGCAAATCTAGCCAATGTAAAAGAAAACAGAGTGCAAAATTAACTGGTAAATAAAGATATTTTCCCAATAAAGAGAAAGTCCTTGTAAATACTTGGCCAGAGAAATGCAGCCTGTTTAAAAGGTTTAAATGTGTTTTGTCCTGAGTTGATCTTGATAGTGTTGGATCTTCAGCCGTCAAAGATCCGCCAACCTGGACCAATGGGAACCCCTGGATGAAGCTGGTTTGACCATCAGCAGCTATGAGTCATTGATTGATCCGTGAGGTTCTCCACTGTAAATCTCTTAAAAACCAGCGATAACGCTGATTTTCTGGAGTAAAATCAGGGCTCCAGTGGTTTTGCTGTGCTATAAAGGCAGCCGGCTGAACTGTAGAGAACTTGTTGGTCTTGCAGTGAAAACTTATCCAGCCCAATAAACGGAGCATGAAGAGACAGTCATGTATCGCTCTCACAGACCTGAAGTCTGTCGTCACAGCTGAGCTGTAACCGAGTTTCACAGGATGGGATCAGATCTCTGTAATAAAATCAGAGGAGCTGTTTGAAGACATAGTCCGGTCTCAGGGAGGTCTCAGGGGACCTTGACCCTGGTGGAGCTCCAGTAGAGAGGCTGAGGTATGCACACCTGGACATGACAGGTTGGACAGGACTGTTTCCTCCACAGCCACTCCTCTATGCACTGCAGGGAGACACAACAGAAACTGCTTCACCAGGATGGATCGACTGAAACAGACGACTAAATGAGGTCAGCAGTAGTATTCAGCAGTGTGTTTTTGTGGTGTGTTACCTCTTTGTGGAGGGTGGTGTACACTGCAGCTCTCTGGTCCCTCCTGATCCTTGGCTTAAGTCATTATGGCAGATCAGACACATGCTGTACGCATCACTCTGCAACACACGTTTCATTCACATGAACTCAATGAATCACATGTGGAGCTGAAGACGTCAACCTGGCTCTGCACCCACCATCGACATGACGTTCCTCCGTCTGAACTGGGCCCGCCTCTCAGGAGGCACGGCTTCGGGGATGCTGGGTATGAGCGAGGGTCTTCGCTCCAGCTGGGGGACGGCAGCTTCCTGTGGCGAGGGAAGGAGGCGGCGGGAGGAGGAGCGGCGCAGCAAAACCCTGGCTGTCACTGGAGCACGTGTGGAGGAGTGAAGGCGAGACAACTGCATGGACGAGAGGGTGGCCTGGACACACATGATCAATCAATCAATCTGTCAGTTGATCAATGTGTTAAGAATGAAGTTCCAACAAACAAGCTAAAAACAACCAAGTCCTATTTGTGTTTTGTGGTGTCAGGAGGTGTAAAGGCCAGATTAGCTGCTCTCAGGTCATGTTTCTCTCTAACACCCAGATAAACCACAGAGCTTCTCCCTGAGCCAAGTGACCCAGAGCTAAATACAGCAGAGGAGAAGCTCTGCAGGGCTGACAGCTAACGCAGCGTTTCCCTGCTCTCACTGCGAGGAGATCAGAGGATGTAAGCCCTGGGTTAGGGTTAGGATTGAAGCTCTGACTAAACGGAGTGAAGTGAACCAAACTGACTGCTTAAGTCTCCTGGTCATCACTGGAAGAACGCAAACATCAAGAAAGCCTCACAAAATCCACGTTTTGGGTCCAAAATGTGGACATGGTTGGAGACTCGTCAATTAAAACTCATGATTACAACATCCTGGATGAGAACCAACAGTTTTAAACATTTTACAAAATTAGGAGGATAATTTCTTCACTTATATTTACACAAGAAGAAACCTGACAGTACTGCTGTGATCTGGCTCAGCAGGTTCAATATTTAGCATCAGTGGTTTTAAAATATTTCTGTTTTTTTACCCATCCATTATAGGAAGGTTTGAATCGTCACAGATGATTTTCTTTCATCACTGAACAGAGAGCAAAGCAGCTTTTATTAAAATAATTAGAAGCAGTATCTGAACATCATTTCACACAGCTTGGGTTTATTTTAAGTGGAGTCAGATTACAATGAGACATCCAGATGTTTCAGCCCTTCAGTCTTGGGTTGCCAGAGGTTTACCTGAACCAGACCAGGAATCCCTTTCATGAACTTCTACAAGGCTTCCAGGAACAACCTGTGAAGATGAACTGAAACACCTGGAAAGCCCAAAGCGTTGTTGAAAAACAGTTTTCATTGGTTGATAGAGACCTGGCCTAAGCCAGAGTCCAGGGAAAACCCTGACAATCCTCATTTAGCATCAAGATGCCTGAATGTCTTTTGAAACCAACAGCAGTTTGAGGAAAACTGAGTTTCAAAATCCTTGATCATCAATGATTGCATTCAAGGCCTATTTATGAACTTATTGCCTTACTAATAAGAAGTAAAGGGATAAATATTGCCATCCAGTGACTGTTTAGTTGCTTCTGCAACCAGAACTCTCCGTCAACATCCAGGCTCATCCAGACTCTCCCATAAGACTTCATATCTAATCCCCTCGTTATGTTAGGTGACCCATCTGTTGACCTTGGCAGGATACCGAGACCATGAGGTTTATCAGCAGTTATTCTGGATCCTGAGACAGAACGTTAGGGTGAGAGAACCTCGGAGCAGACGCACCAGAAGAACTGAACAAACATCCTATTCTCTGCCCTGACTGATCAGGATCGCATCGTTAAACACCAGCAACACTTTGTGTTTTCATACCGGACAGGGCAAAGACGAGCGGCGGTCAACCCTCATCTGGACCGGCGACTCAAAGCTGCATCTGCTTTCAGGTCTTCCTCCCTCTGACTCCACATCCTCGTCATCCTCCTCCTTCTCTTCCTGCACCTGTTTCTTCTGAGGTTCCCCTCCTCTGTACTGCTGCATCCAGGCGTTGAAGATCCTGGCATCTTCTTCTTCGTCCTCTTCTTCCTCTTCGTCTTCTTCTTCCTGGTCTTCTTTCAGAGGGAAGGAGTCTTCAGCGTCTGAAAACACATCTTCCTCTCTGTCTGGATCCATCTGCCTCAGCAGCACCAACTATTGGGATTGAATGTTGGATTACTCAGCAGTAAAACCACCAATGTGTGGTTGAAGTCCACTGCAGGGATTAGGTTAGCTGGTCAAGCACAGCAGCAGAGGTAGAGGAGCCAGTAAGATGAAGGTCCATCCAGACGGTGGACTTGTTCTGCTGTCTTCAGCGCCTCCACACATCAATCCTCAGCTGTTCTTCTTCTGCTTGTTGTTGCTTTGCTTGTGTTTGTTTCTGCAGAATGTGGCGCTCTGACCTCAGGTCTGCAGTAATCCCTTTAGAGACGACCTGTAGGAGGAGGAGAAGATTACAGCTGCTTACAGGATCTGTGTCACATGAGCTGAAAACCCCTCACTGCATTTCAGCTGCTTATTGATTATCATCTTCATCAATCTGATAAACGCTGGTGTTATAAAACCAGCTCCAGTCACTGGTGAGGTTCAGACAGGACAGTTTCCTCCTTTTGTTCTCTTGCTTCATCTAATCTTTCTGCAAAAATAAATCATTCTGTAACACATGCTGAACCTATTAAACTACATGTTTAACATAATTAAAGAATGAAAAAAAATCACTTACAGAGAAATCAGATCTGGAAATCAACACCAAAACACCATCTGTCATTTTGTTTTCAATTTTATTTTTGATAGTGACCTTATAGAAATACGTGCTACAAAATATTTTGGAATATTTTGGAATCTTCACTTGTACCTAAACACAAATATGTTTAGAAAAACAAATTATATTCCTCTTGGAAACTGCACATCTATGCTATTCTATAAATGTATAACAATAATATCTCTTGCATATATTTTTATGATGATTTATAATAGTAGTAATATTAATAAGTCATTGAAATTCTGATATAATTTGAGTGAAAAAGCTGTAAACACCTACTAAAAATAAACATAAAAAAATATAGTAAATATTTCTTATATTAATTTTATGTAATTTTCTCCAGGCGCACGCGCAACCAGGACGTATTTCCTGCATCGCGATACAACCGGAAGTGGGCGGAGCCAGTGGCTGGTGGCGGATTGTAAACAAAAAGTTAGCCGTTAGCTTTTAGCCGAGCTGCACAGGGCGGACATAAGAGGAAGACAAGAGTCGGTGAGCTTCAGGATGAAGGGTGAGAGTTTACTGACTCACTTCAACAGGACAGACCAACTTTTAACACTTTTATTACAAAGCTGTGCCGCAGAGCAGTGCTAATGTTAGCCTGAAGCCCAAAGAAAAAACTTTTAATTCTGCCCTGTTGTTGGTTAGAGACGCTTTAAATCTGCCATCAACATGCAACAACTGTTGGTTTCCAGTCAGCTGGAGGTTTTCTGTAAATCGGCGTGTCGATAAGTCAACTATTGCTTTAAATGCCTTAGTTACACCGCTATTACTGGCTGTTCTGTCACTGGTTAACCATTAGTTTATTTAAACAGCTCCATCAGGATCTGATCCGGGTCAGTCCTCTGGCCTCAGTCCAGTAAATGTCTGGATAATTATAATTATTTGAGTTCTTCTATTATCCAACAAATTGAGAAGTAATTTATTTGTTTCCACATCACAGCAAGTTTGTGTCCAACTTATTGATCAGAAAAAAAGGTCATTTCACCACAGAATGATCCTCCTAGTGTTTAATGTCTCCTCTTCTCTCCAGCCTCCTCTCTGCGCCTCCTCCTCTCTCCTCTCCGCCTTTTGACGGCGGCCATGTGGCAGGTGATCCAGCAGCAGAGCGTGAAGCATTATGGGATGCTGGAGGAGTTTGTTACCCTGGTGACAGAGGCCATCCCACAGCTGCTGACAGAAAGGCAGAGAGGTGTTCTTCTGCTGGCTCTGAGGGCCAAGGTGGGTGTTATGTCAGCTGTTTGGAAACAAAATGTTGCTAGAAAATGTGCTGAAGAACACATCCCCTACTCTAACATCTTTCAGGTGACCCTTTCTCACCCTGCTGATGATCAGACTCACCTGGAGAGAATCCGCTGCATCTCCAAAGCATCGGTAAGACAGCAGAAAGAATGTCACAAACTCAGGTTTATCAAGAGGAAGTTAAATCAATTCACTGAGCAGAAACTTCATCAACATACCAAAAAAAAAGAGGAACTCTAACTCAGTAAAATTATTCACACTGATTTTCAAGAGTTAGTTTGTTGGGATGTTTTTGTTTGAGGACTTGAGAACCGATACTGACATGTACAAAGTGTTGAGTTGGAACAGAAATGCATACCATACTTCTCAGATTTTTATTTTTTAAAATGATAAATGTTATTATTTCACTTAAAAAAGATGAAAAACTTTTTGTAGATAAAATCCCAGCAGCTGGAAAGGAGCAGACTCTGACTCTTGCTCTTCCTCCTCCAGCAGGATGAACAGCTGACTGAGTGCTGCTCTGCTCTCCTCTCTCTTACTCAGACTCCTGCTGACTCACAGTGCCTCCTGCAGGTGGGTGGTTTCACTGCAGCTCTCCTGAGACTCCTTCCCTCTTCATTGCCTGTTCTGCTCCTCTTCCAGGAAGTGTTTGACCAGCGCTTTGACTCCGCCCTCCAGGCGCTGCTGTCGGACCTCCTGACCCGGATCGAGCAGCTGTTTCCAGTGCCGGACTTCAGACAGGTGCCCAGAACCTCTCCATTCCTCCTCTTCCTCACGCCTCCGTCTGTTTGACCCACTGTACGTTCTTCCTGCAGGCGGCCTGTTGGCTCCACGATGCCCCCTGTGTTCTGGAGGACTTTCTGCAGGAGACGGACAGGAAACACCTGATGGAGCTCCTGACCAATCAGAGCTGCCGACTGGGCCGAGCAACAACCGCAGGTACAACATCATAACCAGAGAGAGGTTCTGAGTCTGGATCTGTTCTGATCCGTTTATTCTCTCCTCCAGTTTCTGGTGAAACTGAGGAAATGCTCCTGTCAGCCTGGTCCCACCCACTCCTCACTAGCCCCGCCCACCCTGACCAATCCGGCCAATCAGAGGGAGGCCCGCCTCAGCTGAACGTGAAGGTGGAGCTGATGACGCAGGACATGATTGGTCAAAGCGGGTCGGAGGAGGAGCGGGAGGTGTCCAATCTGAGCCCAGAGGGAGGCGGAGTCACACCTGTGGTTGAGGGTGGAGTCAGGATGAAAGACTCACCTGGCCAATCAGAGGGCTCTCAGCTCACAGCCATTTCCCATAATTCCCAGCGTGTAGCTCACAGGTGTCCTGCGTGTAGAAAGTGCTTCATCTACCGCTCTCAGGTGAGTGTTTACCTGCCAGCTCTCAGGGTGGAAAACCTGTTTGAAAAAATCCTTCAGTGTACCTGACAACCATTCAGCTGCGGGCCTAGCCCCGCCTCCAAAAGTAGCTCCCCCACTCAACTCCTTCAGACGAGCCAGCAGCAATTAGCAAACACCTACTGAGCTCATTTTACGAGCTACTTCTTAAAGCAACACTGGTAAAAACATTGAAGGGTTGATAGAGGAGCCATGTTGGGTTTATGTCCTGAAGGCTGAGCTTCAGAAACACCAGAGGCTCCAATCAGGACTGATATTTTAATGACTTGATGCCTTTCTGCCCCTGTAACCACTGAGCTGCTCCCCAGGTGATCCGCCACCTGCGCTCTAACAGAACCTGCGGGTCGTCAGGAAAATCCGAATCTGGAGCCCTGCAGGGTCGGAGTGAGGGGGAGCCCCGCCCCCTCCGGGCCCACGCCTGCTTCCAGTGCAGCTCCACCTTCACCACCAGAACCGAGCTGGTGACCCACTGCCGCACTCACCTGACCCGGCCCGTCTACCAGTGCAACCAGTGTGACAGCGCCTTCCAGCTCCAGTCCAGCCTGACCAATCACAAGCAACCCACCGTCTGCACGACCTCACCTGCTCCGTCTGCGCACAGACCTTCAGCTCGCAGACGCGGCTGCTGCGCCACCTGCAGACTCACTCAGCCGAGGGAGCTGAGTGCGTCTACAGGTGTCTGTTCTGTGACCAGAGCTTCTCAGGTAAGACCCACTCTAATTGGCTGCTGGGAACAGGTAGACAGAGTTAAACTTGTCCCTCCTCCGTCTGCAGGAGTCACTCAGCTGCGCATCCACCAGCGCAGCCACTCCTCCCGCTCCTACCAGTGCGATCAGTGCGACAAGTCGTATAGCTCGGTGACGGGGCTGCAGTCGCACCGCGCCACCCACAGCGGCGACAACCGCTTCCTGTGCCCTCAGTGCGGCAAGTGCTTCAAGACCTGCGACGGCCTGGAGGGCCACCTGAGGACCCACAGCGGGGAGCGGCCCTTCCGCTGCCCCTACTGCCCTAAAAACTTCACCGCGCACGCCGGCCTCAGCGTGCACGTGAGGCAGCACACGGGAGAGAAGCCGTACGTCTGCACGGTGTGCGGGAAGGCGTGGCCCTCTGGTGGAGACCTGCAGAAACACATGAGGACCCACACAGGGGAGAGGCCCTACGTCTGCCAGGAGTGTGGGAAAGCCTTCTCCATCTGCCACCTGACTGAGCACCGCCGCATACACACAGGTCAGCTGGTCACATGACCTTCATCAGCAGCATCCTGGAGCTGAATGTTAGCCAGCAGTAAGAACAAGAATAACAACATTGGTAAATATAAAGAGCTGAAGGATTTATTTATTCACCAATCTCACTGCTGCATTGGAGTTTTCAGACTCTTATAATCAATAAATCCCTGTTAGCCTCTCTGATCAGCATCTTGTTAGCAGCTCTGTTAGCTTCTCAGTTAGCCTCACTGGACATGTAACTGTTTCCATAAAGCAGTCTAAAATACAAACGTGAACAGTTTCTAAAGCAGATCAAGATTTGTCTGTAACTTACTGAAGGTTAGCCACACGGTTGGGTTCTGTCTGACTGCAACCTGTCCAGTAAATCCAGTTCTGTCCGCCTGGTTCTGCTGCAGGAGAGAAGCCATTCTCGTGTCCTGAATGTGGGAAGTGTTTTCGGAGACGCTTCGACCTGAAGAAGCACCTGCTGTCCCACAGTAACATTCGTCCTCATCCCTGCACCTTCTGCTCCAAGAGCTACACCCGACAGACTCACCTGAAAAGACACCTGCTGACCCACAGAACTGCTGACAGGGAGGTGGAGGAGGAGGCGGAGCCTGTGGAGGAGGAGGCGGAGCCAGTGGAGGAGGCCTGACCTCCTAAGGGGCAGCTGTTCTGATCTCTGACTGATTTTCTACTTAAATGCCTGTTCATACAGTGTGAACAAATGAATGTTTATGAAGGAGAATTATTTCCAGACCTGATGCAGAGCAGATAAAGGATATATTTTAAATATCATGTAAATATGTTTTTATTAGATTAACTTCTCTTCAGCTGAGATGATGAACAGATTTATTGGATCTCTTTGTAGAACTTCCGATGTCTTTGAACAGAACCTCTGAATAAAATCGCTGGACGTCCGTTTGGATTAAACTTTGTGCATCTATGATCCATTTTCACGCTAAATGACCAAAGCGGAGGAGATAATCAGGCGATGTGGACAAACTTTTATTTGACAGGAAGTGACTGATGTTCTGGGTCTAGTCATCGTCTCCTCCTCCCGACTTCTCGATCACTTTCTTCATCCAGCGGCCCATCCTGAACAGGTGGGTGTAGAAGCCGTACTTCCCGTCGCGGTCGCAGCCCTCGCCCCAGGACACGATGCCGATCTGGTACCAGCGGTTCTCTGCCGGGTACTGAACACAGTGCAGATTCTGGATCAGGCTGGAAACTCGCATCCGAGTCAAACACAAAGACTTTTACCTATCAACTTCTTTTATTAAAGATATCACCCCCTGATGGCCACTAGAAGCATTGCAGGCTCATTCCTTACCTTCATCACAAACGGTCCTCCGCTGTCGCCCTCACAGGAGTCGCCACGTTCGCTCTTCTGGTTTATAACCTGCAGGAACAAAGCCTCATATTTAGAGAAGAACTTCGGGCAGAAAGACATTAGAATTACAGCAACAATCAGGGTCTGCAAACAGTGACCATATTAGACTCATAGGATCAGACATTCCTGACTTTCAAACCAGAACTCCTAACTGGAGCATTGTCCGAGTCCAGATGGAGGCATGGTGGACACCTGATTGATCAACAGGAACCGTTACCTGCACAGAACATGTTGTCTGTGATCCTCACTGCGGTGGACTTGCGGCAGGTGTCCTGTTCCACTATTGGAAGGTGGATTGTCGGAGAACTGAAGGTAAGTTTCTGGCTGAAGGGTTCCAGGTTTCCTTCAGGTTCCCCCAGCCGGTCACTCGCCCCTTGAAGCCTTCGCTCATTAACCTGTGAGGAAAACATGGTTTCTGCTTCCAGTTGGACAATGGAGACAAAATCTTCATGCATAAAGGTTTGGACAGACAGGTGTGTTTGTCTTACGTTCTGGCGACCGCCTTGGTGGGCAGGCAGATGGGATGGATCTGGTCTGAGAATGTGACGGGTCGCCTCAGGTGCAGCAGAGCGATGTCCCGGTTCAGATTCTCCCTCCAGTTGTATTTGGGATGGACGATGATTTCATCGATCGCCACGATCTTCTCGATTCCTCGCTCAAACCTGGAGACAAGACAAAGGATGCTCCTCTGGTCAGCAGGGATGTCATGTTAAACTGGGTCACAACTATACATACACCTCCAGGTATCTACCACCTTAGTTTGAGGTGAAGTGGAACAATGTTGTGGTGGTCTCCTTTCATTATTCCTTCCTCTTTGTGTAATGCACCAGTACAATTGGCAGCAAAACAATTCGCTGCCAATTGTTTTGGCAGCGAAAACAACCATCATGGTAGTGATGGTCCCACTACCATGCTTCAGATTCCCAGATCATTCTTCTCATCAATAGATCCAAATAGTCTCTTGTGTCCACCAAGCTAATCTCCACAAGACCCTGACCTCAACCCAATTGAATATTTCTAGTTAAAAAGTCGGACCGGTGCCAGTTCTGCTGAGATCAACATATATGGTGATTGTTGGAGAAGACAGCAGGCAGGTTGTCTCACTTGATTCTGTTGTGTTTCCCCAGTCGGACCAGGATGTCGTCGACGGTGTAGTTCTTGTTCCAGGGGCGGGTAGAGGATGCAGTGCGCTGCAGTCAGGGATCCACTCGTCGCTGATCAGACTGGCTCCACATAGCAGCTCCTGGGGCTGCGTTTGTACAGCATCACCTGCCTGCAAACAGAAAAATCCTTGATCTGACTTTTATTGTGGTAAACAGCCAGGATGTCCCGCAGCTGAAGGTGCGGTTACCATGGAGCTGAAGCAACCTCAGCATCATCACCCCCAACGATCCGTTGCTCTCTGTGGACTCCAGAAGCTCGTTCTCGTTTTTATCCTGTATGCCCTTCTGTTCAAAGAGAGGACGCTGCCCACAGACTGGAACACAAGGAGTCCCAGTCAGACACGCCCCAAACCAGTTAACACACCAGTCTGCCAGTATCTCCATCAACTGGTACAGTGAAACAAACACCAATAGCGTGCCACTAGATCTAACCAAGAAACACTGATTTCTGGCAGCTGCTTTTTTATGTTCAGTTTTATGTCTGAATGTCAACTTAATTCATTAAAATACACATAACTTTGACTGGTGACATTTTTTATGTATTTTCATTTTAACTAGGTACATTGTAACATGTTGCTTGTTACCAGGTCAGGCCATGACAAAGAGCTGTGATCAGGTGACTCACCACTTTCTCCTTGACCAAAGGAGCGAGGATTGAAGAAGAGTTTTCTCTGGACCCAGGACTGTTCGCTCTGTTCCTTTGTCGTCTGTTGTCTGCTCTTCACCAAACAGCGGATCGTCTGAGACACACAGGTGAACAGCAGCCACAGGGTGAGGGCCCGACCCGTATGCTGGGTAATCACTGGTCATGGGTTGGTACCGTACCGCACAACTCCAGGTCACAGTAGTCAATTGTGATGTTTCCAGAAATCTCCACGTAGCACCAGGGGCCTCAGGGTCATTGTCTGGGTTTCTGCACTTGTTTCTGTCCAGAACCACCTCTGGGATGAAGGCTCTGCCCCGGCTGAGGGCCACAGTCTCTGGTGATGACCACTCAAGACAGGTGTGCCCTTGCGCCGTGACACTAAGGTCACCAGTGTAGTCAATGCCATAGCTCGGTAAACACACCGTAGTTCTGACTGGTTCTGGTGCCACAGTGGTCGGGACAAACACCTCACCTTGACAAGAAGCAGGAGTTCACTCAAACTATCCTTCCACAACCAAACAACATGGTGGCAGCAGACCATGAAGGCAGTGTTTAAATAAATTCAGGTGAACTCTTACCACATTTAGGTACTCTGCAGGTCTCTTTCTGGACCGTTGGGTCAGTGGTGAAACACCAAGGTCCTCCTGGACGGTTGTCAGGGTTCCTGCAGAAGTTCTCCTCCAGGATGCTGTTTGGTTCTGAAGCATTAAACTCCCTGCAGACAAACAGTTACCACAGAATTTCGGGTCCATTAGTTGTTGACTTGTAAAATTTCACACTTATTGGTTGTTGTTGGGCATTGACTGGTTCTGGTTCGCTTAAGAGTTGGTCAATGGTTGACTGGTTGGGTTGCAGTAGATTATGTTGTTGGTTCTCATGTACCTGGGTTGTTAATTGTGAGGTTGCTGGTTCATCTCATGTCTCAGGTTTGGTAATTAGTGAGACTCAAAGCTCTCATTAAGCTGGTTAACTGATCTGTTCGATGGTTACAGATTAGCTAGTTTGATTACTGATAAAATTAGTAGTCAAGTTAGTTGGGAAGCCTTGAACTAATATCTTAGCAAGTTAATTGATTGATTCATTGATTGGTTTTCTGTGCCACACATGAACTTGTGGTTGGCCAATTTGTTTGGATTGTTGAAAACATGGTTGTTGATCTGTTGGTCACTGGGTTGGTTGGTGTTCTGTGGTTTCTTGACTTAATTAGTGAAGTTGTTGTAGATAAGTCATGTCAGTAGCTGCAGCAGAGAGCTTGTTCTCAGTTCTGGTCAGGTAAACATACCTGTAGATGGGATGAGGGAACCTGCCTCTCCAGTATTGGCATTTTTTGCCCGATTCTGTGATGTTGATGTCTCCTTTATAGCTTCCTCCAACACCAGTGATGCACTCACCTGCACACAGCAGCACCGTGAACCATGTGACGACTGGCTGCCTGCTGTTACCTTCTGGTAACCGGTTTGTTACCTCGCACAGCTCCTGATGATGTTGATGTTTTCTGTTGTTCTTTGCATCTCGGTTCCTTTACAGTCTGTTGGAGACAAACAGCAGCTGCATGTTTGTGTGCTGAACTCCTCTGGACTTTGGTTCTGTTGCAGTGCAGCTGCATCAGCTGAATAAACTTGTTTAAACCACAAACCCAACTGGATTAAATCAACACCAAGTCCAGTAACAACTTGGTCCTTCTGGGAGTAAATATCACCAGAACCAATAAACTTCAAGTTAATTTAAGTTTAATTAAAGCAAAAGCAAAGGAGGCAAAGCAAAGGATCTGATCACAACATCATCGTCTCTAGATCATTTCCTTGTTCTTCCTTACAGCTGGAGGAGAACCCTGCAGGATATTTACATACCCAGATATGTGGCCCAGAACTTTTCCTGCAGAAACAAAGAGTTTATTGTTTATTGATCTGATCTCAGAGTGGGGAGCCGTGACAGTTACAGTGAAGAAGCACCGTTTTATCGTTCTGCTCAAACACTTCTCTGGCTTCTTCATGGTCACAGATTCCTCCACACACTCCCTCTCCAGGTTCCCTGAGGAGACACAACACACACACACACACACACACACACACACACCGCTCAAATCGCTTGGAGGAGAGTGTGTGTGAAGTCAAATTGGGAAAAAAAAAAATGCGCTCATTGTGTTCCACACGGACTTAAATGAGGGACGGACAACGCGGAAAAAGAAAGCGGAAAGCGGAAAAGAAAAGCCAGACAAAGAAATCGGGAGTTTGTGGACCCTTTCAATCAAAGATCCTGGTCGAGTTGCAGATCTGGATGAACTTGTAGACGAGCAGAGACAGCCGGTAAGACTCGAGCTTATTGTTGATAAGATCGGACTGCAAAGCTACTCACGATCTCTGTCGGACTTCCAGCTTTACCTGCTCATTAACCACCATCAACTACAACACGCCTGAAGTAGTATTGATTGATTGATTTTATGAATGAACTGATTGTTGTATTTGAATAATGAATTTAGATGTTAAGCTAGCTATTTATTAATTAGCATTATATTAGAAATGACATCTTAAAGCTATTTATATTCATGAACTTAATATTATGACTAATATTGAAAAGTGATGGTTGTATATTTAAATAAATGTAAATATGTTATTGAAAAGATGAATTTGAAATGTATTTTAAAGTTAAGGAACTTAAGTTTAGTTACTTGTTCATTTAACTTTAGTTATTTGGGGGTTTGATTCACAGTGGGTTGCTTAGTATTGTTTAT